AACAACTGCAAAACATTAAATTATGGTAAAATTCAGGGGGGCATGCCCCCCTGAAACCCCCATTCCTATTTTTATTAGGTCAGGGGGGCAAGCCCCCCTACTCTTGTGGCCCAAAACCGTAAATAAAATTGCGGGGTGGGAACTACCGAAAAAGCGCCCTTTATTTTCCCAAACGTTCGGAGAAATAGTGCCTAGCTTTATTTTCCCGAACGTTCGGAGAAATAGTGTCGGCCAACAAATAAACTAGATCTAGTAAATAAATCTAGATTCTAGATCTAAAATCTAGATCTAGATCAGATCTAGATTCTAGATCTAGATTTAGATCTAGATATCTAGATCTAGATCTAGTTCGTTCTAGTTCGTGGACGAATTGACAGACAATTAAAACATGTAATTCCTCAAGTCGTAATGTACATACATACTAGATCTAGAATCTAGGGCGATTTTGCAGTTTCGTTCGTTAAAGTCAAGAGTAGGGGTTTTTCAGGCCTGACCTAATAAAAATATGGAGGTGGGGCGGGGGTTCAGGGGGACATGCCCCCCCTGAATTTTATCCTAATTCCTAATTTGATGTTTTGCAGTTAGGTTGTATCCCTGCTCTTTGTGTAGCCTAATTCAAATAGTATTTGGTCTTCAAGACATCTGGATTTCTTCTCTGGATGTAAACAAATGGATCGTGGACTACGAACGGAACTACAAGATCACCGAATCTAGATCTAGATCTCTATCTAGATCTAGATATAGAATCTAGATCTAGATCTAGACTAGACTAGATCTAGATCTCTATCTAGATCTAGATCTAGATTAGATCTAATAATATCTATATATCTAGATTCTAGATCTAGATTCTAGATCTAGATATAGATCTAGATCTAGATCTAGATCTAGATCTAGATATCTAGATATTCTAGATCTAGAATCTAGGTCTAGGCTACTAAATTTCTAGACCTAGATATCTAGAACACATAAGGCATTCGAAACACTGTTTAAAAGAACAAAGGTCTCAAAAAGTCTTCCACGTGGTTATCAACATTAAAACAAACTAAGCCCCTCGTTTCCTTACATCTTGAGCATTACGTCGACATCAAGTCGCTCTCAGTGGTCAGTAGGCTAGCCTAGGTTGAGTTGTTTTGCGGAAGCCGGAAGCAGGGAGGGGTAATGAAAGGTAGATGGTACCGCAGCAAATGAAATCAAGAAGGCATAATGTTGTATCAAACGCACAGAATTCCACAAACTATAAACAAGGCCTAGATCTAGATCTAGAGTAGATCACGTTCGTTGTTGTTTTTTTCCCCGGGTAAACAGAATTGTTATTAATCGGCACAGTTTAGGATTAAATCAGTTCTGAGAGGCAATGGTGACCAAAATGGACATGAATGATGAATAGCAACATATTAATTCCAGCTGGGATTATTGCAACCATTTGAACATAATAATATATAATTATATATATAACGACTAAGTATTTTTTTTCTCAAATTGAGGGTAAGTTAACGTTGCGCCACGAATTTTTGACTGCACTTTTTTTTTAGAACATCGGCCTTTCAATTTATTGAAATACGACGTTTCAATGTCACCAACACTGTATGCTTCTGCGTTTGTTTCCCAAAAAATCGAGATAATAGCGACGACCGGAGTCGCTAGGCTAGTATAGACGCACCTGCAGCGCGTGACTGAATATGAAACTAATATATCCGCACATATTATATTCTTTCTTTTTTTTAAAATCTTAAAATGGACATCAGTCGAGACAGCTGCTCTTTGCCATACAGGCCAAGGCATCCGTAGAGTTTTGGCGCTCCTTGCCTTTGAAGTTGTCGCTGTACTTATAGGCCTAAGACAATTATAAAGACTTAAACACATGTATAAAAAAATTAATGTACATGTATAACACGACATGTACCGGTATACAACTAATTCCAGGATATTTCTTAAAACAAATGATTCGTGAGTTGGGCAGACTTATGATTAATGACGTATCGCCAATTATTACATGTTTGGCCACCAGTTCTGCCTGCATGGGCACTGCTTAATTGATCCGGTTCAATCCTAAACTTTTTACAAATGTATAGAAATGTATTTCGGCGAATGGCCATAATTTTTTTTAATTTTTTTGGGGGGAGGTGTTTGTTTTGTTTGTTTGTTATTGTTGTTGTTGTATTTGTTTGGGGGTTTTTAGGGGGGGGGGGTTGTTTGTTTTTTGTTTATTTGGTTCAAGTAAAAATGCAACACATAGTAAGGTGATATAAGTGCCAAATATCAATAGAGGTGTTACAATTACACACAAAAAAGGAGAGGAGATATCATAAAGGCTGACCGTTACGGAGCAAACCACACCAGAGCACCTGGCAACCGCACCCACTATTTGAGTTGTAGTTGTAGTAGTAGAACAATCTGCTCTTGGCAGGTGCAGGAGGTAGCAGGGCCGGTCGGCCTGGGGTGTTTTTTTTTTTGTTGTTTTTTTTGTTTGTTTTTTTTGTGTCGTCTGTTTAGCATGGGTATCAAGTAACTGCGTTTTGTGTTGTGTATCGAATTTTGCAGACAACAATTTACAAGTAAACCTTTCCGAGTGATTTTTGCTTGTCATTTTGTGTTACAATTAATACCGTAGCCTAGCCTGTATATTGTTCAATGTTTAATCCACCCCCACCCCGACCCTTAAATAAATAAATAAATAAATAAAAATAATAATTAATAAATGTTTTTTTTTTAAAGAAAGAAAAAAGAATAATGAAACAAAGATATGATTAGCTGGACTGCATATATACTAAAGCCCATGTGGAATAATGTACATCACACAACTCTTCTGTTATAACTGT